GCTGCCGGTGGCTGGCTGGTGCTCAGATGTGTATTCTTTCCTTGGCTTTCTCTCACTTGTCTAACTCTCTGTCCTGTGATGGCACACTTGGTGTGTTTCTCTGGCTTAGGACTGTTCACTGGAACTCTAAAACTGCTTTCTATGCGAGAGCTTGTTCAGCTTCCAGCTTCTCCTCCGCCATCTTGTCCCACATGTCTCACATTGTCACTTTTGCATCACACAACCCTATGCAGTGGCCCTGGCTTTTCTTACCTTACTTTCTAAGCTAAACCCTTGTTGATGCTTCATAGTGAACATTTGATTTTTCTTGTATACTACAAACATAACAAAGAAAACTATTGTAGCTAAAAGGAAACGACATAATAAAAGAGCCCCTTAAAATCTTAGCTACTCAAACTACACATATATTCAGGTAGTTAAAAACAACATTCTGAGGAGACAGATTTTTGTCTCAAAGCTCTGCTTTTACTGCACTTAATGAGGTCACTCAGATGAACGTTTGTTGTATGACTGCTAGTGAATCTTTCCAATTGTGTCAATGTCAAGATCATAAAGTTCTCAACACTTATCTTGGGAATCCTTACCACTACTAATTCTGAACAATTTTTATCCATTTTACTATTCTTCTCCTATAGTTAAGGCTAATCAAATAGGACATTCCCCATATAGTTTTAAAAATGAAATACATTAAATTCAATGTTTTCAAAGATAATGGAAGAAAGACGAAATTGTAACCCAAAAGCATGTCTCAAAGAGTACACTTAGTTATGTTTGTGGGAGACATTGGTTAGCACAGTTTTTTTGGTGACCTCATATCATTCCATTTTGGTGACCAGTAAGTTTTACCTTAATTGTCAAAAATTTTCCTGTTATTTCCATCTTTTATGCTCATAACAGACAATATGGCAAAATAGAGCAATGTGGACTAAACACTTCAATATGGCTTGGAAATACTTCACCCAGCCAGCTTGAAAGACACATTTGACTCACACACATGCATGAGCACACACAGAAAAAAGGAAGAAGAAAGATCATGATAGAGTAAGAAGGGCGTGTTCATAGCAGGAAGCTCAGTACATTTTTGACACATTCTTTGCAAGCACCATGGCAAAAACACATGACCTTTTATGTCATTAGATGGAAATGACAGTCACTGCATCCCTGGGATCTACTGAGATCTGGAAATACAGCATCTTTTGTAAGTTTATCAAACTGATAGCCTTCAGAGTACTGCAAATGGATTTCCCCAAGGAATATATGCCTTGATCATCTGAAGAAGAGGTCATGGTAAGGAAACATATACAACAGATAAACAATGGAAAAATCAGTGTATCAAGTGATATTTGTTGCTTTAAGATTAAAATTTTAAATGATTTGGATTTTAAATTTATCATTCATTTTTAAAGGGCAAAGTAAAATTCTAAAGACTGAGGTTTTTTTTTTCATACTCTCCACTTGAAACTTTTGGAGTAGACTGAGAAAATGATGGCAAATACGTGGCAAATTAAAGTCACATCCTCTGTTCTTGATTGAAGAAGTGTACAAATCATGGAAACTCTGAATTTATCAAAGCCAACATTTGAATTTTCTTTGCCCACAATATCCTCTGAGGGGAATGCTTTTCTAAACAACTGAGTGATTCTGACGAACAGTTCTACCTCCCTTTAGAGGTAAACGATTTTGTTTTTTTTCCTGTTTTGCTGAATAAACCAAGTTACTTCCTCTTGTAGCTGTACAAGCCTGCAGTTCTCTACAGGATATCTGGGTAGAAAGGGTAAGGTTCTTGGCTTTCTCTTCATACATTCAAAAATAGAACTAAAACATCTCTGTGCAGTGAAAACGACCGTGTGAAATTTTGCTACTTCCACTGAAAATGTAATTCTGAGTCTGTTAATATCTTACCTTTAAGGGGGATGTATTGTAATGAAGAATGGAGAATCCAGTGAGGTAATATCTATTTATAAATTTAAGTGGTTAAAATGTTCAGTGAAACTGCTGCATGCTTTTGAGAGGAAATGTGACTGTCAAGATAGAAAGCTCCTTTCTCTACAATTGAATGTGCCATTGAAAAAAACCAGGAGTCCAGGGTTATATCAAACACTGCTCTTAACAATTCTCTGCTAAAATTAAGATTGTGGTTGATTAAATGCATTTCTTTTAGTGTGAGCCATGGGAGAAAGTAAACTTCAAGGTTTAAGTCCATGGTTTTTGTCAACAAAATTTTCAGCAGCATTCAAACAGTAAATAGATTTAAATGCCTAAATCTTTTTGTAAGATGAGACTTGACATGTTTTCTTGGACTGGGACATTTTCCATGCATGCATTCTCTGGTGGGACATGTTGGCTTCAAATAGCACAAAAGGATTTTCATCAAGCCCTAGAAGCTGGCACAGCTGTCTGGTCTCAATGGAGCTGATTCTCAACTTACGGTGAACATTTCTTTGGATGTATTTTTAATTTGAGAACATGGGAAACTTTTTAGCAAAGTGTTCCAAGTATTTTTGCTGTCTTTGGGGGAAGGAATTTCTTCCATTCTCTTTACTTGAAGTAATAAAGCAGTTGTTCTTTTTTATGTATGCTAGTTTCACGCTTGGAATTTGATTATGTATGTAAGATGATTCACAATTAGATAAAATGATATGTGATCCTAGATACATTAGTGATACATTCTCATACCACTATCTTCTCATGACATGAACAATACCGTGTTATTTTGTAAACACTGAATTCCATTACATTAAAGAGTTGGAGTTATAGTTCTCTTTCAGAAGATACCTCAATTAAATTTTTCTATGAACTATTAGGAAAAAAGAACTTATTATAGTACTATTGTTTCCAGAAACAAAATGAAACTAACAGCTGTAGACTACATGAGCATGACTCACAGGATGGCACTATCTGCCTATTATGGTTGCCAAGTGGCACCATAATAATGTTAGATTTTGAGAGAGGTTCTGCCTAATCTCTCTGACCACAAAGTACGGGTGGAGTTTTTCCTATGTGGAAGTAGTTTCAAGGTGACTGAGACTTGGGAAAGTATATGAAACCAGGCAGACTAAGCAGCTGCATGGCTCCGGGGGTTTTCCAGAAGATCTGAGGTCAGCAAAACCCCTTGGACTGACCAGCCTTAGAAACTAAGTTTTGGAAGGATTATGAAAAGAAGACATCTACAGCGGACTGGAAAACTGCATAGAGTTTTTTTTTTCCCCAATTCACTTTCTTTCTCCCATCCACCAAACTAATTTAATGAGATGTAGGGTGTTTTTTTAGCCAGCTGCTGATCCTGGATGAAGGAAGAGGGAATTAATCATTTATGTATCACCAGCAGTAAAGTGTATCCCTATATTAGTGCTTAGTAGGAACTAGACATTTGCTGAATTGTAGAGCTCCAGGGGGAAGGAGGGGTTGCTGTTGGCGGATTCTGTGCTGATATCTTGTTTTCTGCAGCTGTGTATGTGGGTGTCCTAGAAGGCTGAGAGATTATTCACTAGAACATGAGATATTTTTGCATTTGGTCAAAATTGTTGCTCAATATTGGAAAAAATAATACTTCTCTGTATTTTCTAAGGTTATAAAGTGATAACATAGCACTAGAGTTAGATGTGCAAATTGGCCACTGCTTTAGTATATTATTTTGAGGCTAAGTAAAGGCTCCCTCAACCTGATGTGTCTCCTTAGGTCTCCTTACATTTCTATCTCTATTGAAAAATTTCACTATTAGTAATGTATTACTAGAGGTTATTTACTGTCTCTTTAAATTCTCACCTTTTTTTTGAAATTCAAGCATTCCTAATAGAGGTAAGAGACTCAGCTAGTGGAAATCTAGTGAATGTCTATATGAGTTAGATTTATCAATGAACTGTTAAATTTTCCCAAACAATAAAGGGTCAGACTTCAAAAGGTATAAGTAATTGAAAAAACTCAAGGGAGCAAAAAGGAAGAAATTGGGGGATAATATAAAGAGAAATTTGTTGACTTCACATATCCTGTCTACTTATCAACTAAGGTATAGTTACAATGGATATGTTTCAACAACCTGCCGATCTACATGTACATAAACTAGAAAGGGGCCCATGTCAATCATTGAAATTGGTTTTTCTTTTTGATGTTTGGAGGGATTAATATTACTTCTTAAACTTAATTCCAAGTATGATGTGAAACATTATAATACGTTCCAAATTATCAGATTTAGTGATCTATTTAATTTTTTCATTTACCTTTTTAAATTTTTGGGAAAGATCCTTGTTAGCATATGGTAGTTTGCACATGGGGTTCATTTTCACCATTCCATGTGTTTATAAGGTACCGCATCAAATTCATTCCTTCTATCACTTTTCCTCATCCCCTATACCTACTTTTTAAAACAATTTCACCTGCTTTTTAAAGAAGTTTTCATCCAGATGAACTTCTTAAAACTTATTTTAGTTGACAAATAATTGCTTATATTTGTAACACACAATTTGATGTTTGGTCTATGAATATGTTATAGAAAGATTTGATAAAGCCAATTAACAAATCTATCACCTTATCAAATCTATCACCTTACAAATCTTTTGTCAATTGTGGGGCTTGAACTCAGGGCCCAGGTGCTGTCCCTGAGCTCTTTTGCTCAAGACTAGTGCTCAACCACCTTGAGCCACAGTTCCACTCAGTTTTTGAGTGGTTAATCAGAGATAAGAATCTCTTGGAGCCTTTTCTGCCTGGGATGGCTTTGAACTGCGATCCTCAGATCTCAGCCTCCTGAGTAGCTAGGATTACAGGCGTGAGCCAGCTGCACCTGGCAAACCAATCTATTCTTTAAGCAATGGTTATTTTTTATATTATTAAGTATGGTTATCATACAGAGAAATTGATCACTGAAACTTTTCTTAACTTTGTATTCTTAGCCTCCAGTCTGTTTCTATGAAGTTGGTGTTTTTTATTGTGCACATTGTTGCTCTTTAGATAGCATTTACTTTTCTGAACATAGCTTATTTCACTTAGAATCATGTTCTTCATATACACTCATGTTCCTGTGACACAATTTCTTTCTTTAATATTATGTAGTATTTCAATGTGTATATATGCCAAATTCTCCTTTGGAATTCACCTACTCATGACTAGTTAGGTTGTTTACATATTGTGATTATTGTGAATGATTGTAAAGTGAAAATGAGAGTGTAGGTATGTCTTTAATCAACTTATTTCAATCTCTTTAGATATACACTACAATTAAAATGGATGGATCATATATTCTTTCTATTTTTACCTTTTGAAGAATATTCATATTGTTTTCTAATGTCTATGGTAATTTATGTTCCCCTCAGAGCTCAGACAACCTAGGCTTAAAACTTCCTAAGTGCCTCATTTCAGAGCTTGCATTGGTGGAAGATTCAGTTTGTTGTCTGCAAACTGACTACATGTTTGCCAGAGAGTATTTTAAGATTTAAAATTGAACTTCCTAAAGCCAGATACCAAACAAAACCAAACCAGAAACCCATTTCTTTCTTGTGAATTATATTCATGACAGTGAATAACATGGGCAGTAAAGATTTGGGAGATTATCTGATGGTTTCCTAGAACTGTATTTTATATAAAAACCCTGGTGACTCCTTTAAAATTAGTTTGTCAATTGAGCAAGCCAATTGCGCTTTAACATCTCAGTAGGAAATCTTTTAAAGATTGTATTTAGAAATTTGTTGGTCCCACAAAAATTGAAAAAATTTGATACTATTGCTAACTATATGGATTCATCTCAAACTCACAAGTAATGAATGCAGGCCCTCAAATTGATCTCCTATTTCTGATGCTAGTCACATGTAGTGGATCTTCATGTTACTCACACTTCTGTGTGATTTGGCTACAAAGCACTCCTAAGTTTTAAAAATTTGCTGTACTAGGTCCTAGATCTCAGGGAAATGCATTACTTTCACTTAGTGGTTCACTATAAACTGTATTACAAATTACATTATTATTACCTCAATATTCCTTCCTTTTCCATTCTCTAGAAGTTGGTAATGTGACATGGAAGGATAGGGGCTGAACACTGCAATTCTCTGCCTGACATGTTACATTTTGTTCATTCCATTTATTTAATGGACATATGGGTCATTTTTTCTCTTTTGCTGTTATGATAGATGCTATTAATAACATTAATGGAATGAAGTTTAGCATGGATTCATTTTTAATTTCTATTGATTATGCACATTAAGATGGAATGGATAAAGTTTATGGTAACTATATTCTGAGTCACTGCTAATTTCCTTTCCAAAGCAGCTACATCACTCAACAATCCAATCAGAAAGGAT